CGAAGCGGCCATGGATGGGCCGCCGACGAAGCGCGGAGCCGAGGCGGTGGCAGAACGTCGCGGAGCTCGGGCACGTAGCGCGGGGCTTGCCGTGCTGTCGCTGGTCGCGGACGTCGAGGAGCCGCGTCGAGCGGGTTGAGCGCGTGGTCGTGGCGACGAGGCGGTCATGGACGAGCCGCCGCTGAGGCGCGTAGCCGAGGCGGTGGCAGAACGTCGCGGAGCTCAGGCACGTAGCGCAGGGCTGGCCGTGCCGTCGCTGGTCGCGGATGTCGAGGAGCGGGGTCGAGCACGTGTGGCGCGAGGTCGTGGCGACGAGGCGGCCATGGATGGGCCGCTGTCGAGGCGCGTAGCCGAGGCGGTGGTCGAACGTCGCGGAGCTTGGGCACGTAGCGCGGGGCTTGCCGTGCTGACGCTGATCGCGGACGTCGAGCGGACGTGGAGGAGCCGCGTCGTGTGTGAGGAGCGTGTGTTCAGTGACGATGGAGGTCACGGATCTGCCGCAGGCCCGGAGCACGACGGAGCGTGCGGCCACGTCCGGTTCATCCGGAAGATCGAACTTCCAATCGTAGTCGTTCGTCCCTCGATAGTCGAGAGCGAAGAACACGCGAGGAAGCTGCGGCTGAGGTCGTGGCGGATATCGAGGCTGTTCTGAGGAGGCGCCGCCGCTGGGCGCGGGCGGACGAGCAGGACGGAGCAGCCGCGCCGCGGTGAGTCGGGCTGCGTCCGCGCCGCGCTGCCGGAGGTCCGTCCCCTCCGGCAGCCCGCGTTCGGGCGGCCGGCGCGGCGTCGCATCCTAGAGGCTATGACCGGCGGGTGGTCCGCAGCGTATAGGTGTAGCCCAAGAGGCAGGCTGCCTGCGCGCGGGGCGCGCGGCGGCAGCGGCGCACTCTCGAAATACAGGGGAGGATTCGGAGGGAAAGGAGGGGTTCATGATTGACCTCTCTCGTTCATCCGGCCGTCCGTTGCGAGCTACAAGCCTAGTTGCCAGGCAACCCGGCGCATCTTGATGCTCGCTGAACCCGTCTAAACCCGCCGGCAGCCCCGCGCCTGCTCCTGGCGCACCGCGCTGCTGCGCACAAACAAACGAGGAGGCATGGGCCGGCTCCTCGGGGGCTACGAGACGTCGCGCTCGCTCTATCTGAGCGGGATCGGCGCCATCTACGCCGTCGCCTTTGGGTCCTACTGGCTGCAGTACCCGGGCCTCCTCGGCGCGCGGGGCCTGCTGCCGGCGGCGCCGTTCTGGCGCCAGGTGAAACCGAACTACGAGGGCGCCACGCGCGCCGCGAGCTTCCTCAGGCTGCCGTGCCTGCTCTGGTTCGCCGGCGACGGCGACGCGGCCGTCGACGCGCGCCTCGAGGCGATCGCGGCGGCCGGCGTCGCGGCCGGCGCGGCGGCCGCCGCGGGGCTCCACCACGGCGCCCTCTTCGCGGCGCTCTTTCTCGGCTACCTGACGCTCTTCGTCGCGTCCCAGACCTGGCTCGGCTTCCAGTGGGACATCTTCCTGCTCGAGACGGGCTTCTGGACGGTGCTCTACGCGCCGTGGTGCTCGCCAGGGCAGCAAGAGGGTGATTCAACGTCGCTTCAACGTGAGTGTTCCGCGCGCGCGCGTTCCGAAAAAAAAACATCCACGCTTCGAGACCGTTCCGAGAGATGATCGCTCGTCCAAAAATCAGCCAAAACGAGTGGAAAACGGCCGAGATATGAGCCTTTGAAGTTGGGAATTTCGCTCTCTTTTGCTGCCCAGGTGCTCGCTGTCCGCGCGCGGCGAGGAGGCCGCGGGCCACCCCATGGCCGTGCCCCTGCGCGCCCTCTGGGTCAAGTTCATGGTCATGTCCGGCGTCGTCAAGGTCACGGCGAACTGCCCGACCTGGAAGCGGCTCACGGCTTTGGAGTTCCACTTCGCGTCGACGTGCCTCCCAACGGCCGAGGCGTGGTACTTCCACTCGCTGCCGCCGTTGCTCCTGCGCCTCGGCACGGCGGTCATGTTCCTCACGGAGCTCGTCGCGCCCTGGCTCCTCCTGGCGCCGGCGACGGCCGCGCGGCGCGCCGGCTGCCTCGCGCAAATACCGCTCCAGGCGCTGATCATGTACTCGGGCAACTACAACTGGTTCAATCTGCACACGGTCGTGCTGCTGCTGCCGGCCTGGGCGTGCGACTTTTCCGAGGCGTCGGCCTGGGAGACCTTTTGGCGGCGGCGGCGCTGGCCCGTGCGCTTCGGCGTGTGCGCCGCGCTCGCGTACGCGTTCCGACGGCTGTTCCCGTTTTCTACGAACGGGTCCGTCGCGGCCGCGCTCGCGGCGCCGGCGGGTTTTGTTATCGAGAACCGCGCCACGGTGCGCTTCACGAAGGCCATGCTCGACACGGCCCTCACTGAGACGACGCTGCTTTATGTGTACGCGCTCCTCGCGCTGCCCGCGGCCGCCTACGCCGCGCGCGCGCCGGGCCGGAGGCTCCGCTACGGCGCCGGCGTCGCTTGGCGCCTGGCGCTGGCCGCGGCCGCCGCCGTCGCCCTGGGCGTGCTGCTCCTCCCCTGCGAGTCCATCGCCGGGCGGCCCGTGCTGCCGCTCCTGCCCGGCCCGCTCCGCGAACCGACGCGGCGCGCGGCCGCGGCCGCGGAGCCCTTCCGCGCGGCGTCGTCCTACGGCCTCTTCCGCCGCATGACGGGCGTCGGCGACGCCCCGGGCGGCGCGGGCTTCGGGGGCGCGCCGCCGTCGGCCGTCGCCGTGCCCGCCGTCGTCTTGGAGGCGTCGCGCGACGGGCGCGACTGGCGCGAGATCCCGCCGCGCTACGCGCCCTTTGGCGTGAGCCGCCCGCCGCGGCGCACGGCGCCGCACCAGCCGCGCCTCGACTGGCAGCTCTGGTTCGCGGCGCTGGGCCACTACCAGCACAACCCCTGGCTCCTGCACCTCATGTACAAAATCGTCACGGCGCTGCCCACGGACGACGACGCGCTCGCGCTCCTCGACGTCGACGCCTACCCCTTCTCCGGCACGCCGCCGACGAACGTCCGCGCGAGCCTCTACCACTACGACTTCACGCGCGCGCCGTCGGCCTGGGCGCGGGGCATCCCGGGCGCCGTGGAGCTCGCGCCGGGCTGCAACCCCTTCCGCCACGAGAACCGGAGCGACTGCGACGCCTACTGGACGCGGCGGCGCGTCTCCGAGTACGTCCCCGCCGTCGACGCCGCCGTGCTCCGCGACCAGGTCGTCGCGAAGCGCGGCTGGCCGACGGGGCCGCCGACGCCCGCGCCGTCGCGCGCCGCCGCGCTCCGGCGCTTCGTCGGCTGGCACGCGAAGACGAGCTCCGGCGGCCCGCTCTTCGTCGACGGGCCCGCGGTCCTGCTCGCGCTCGTGGGCGCCGGGCCGCTGCTGCTCGGCGCGCTCCCGCGGCTCGACTTGCGAGTCCGGCGGCGCAAGCGCAAGGCGGACTAAGGCGCGTTCTCTTGTCTGTTGCATGCGCATGCTGCTCGTTGTCAGCCGCTGCGGTATGCTGCTCGTTGTCAGCCGCTGCGGCATGCTGCTCGTTGTCAGCCGCTGCGCCATGCTGCTCGTTGTCAGCCGCTGCGACATGCTGCTCGTTGTTAGCCGGCGCCGCGGTATGCTGCTCGAGCTCGCTGTCAGCCGCAACGCCACGCTATTCGTAGTAGTTAGTCGCGGGCCGCTTCGCGCGGGCGTCGTCGAGCGTCGGGACGGCCTGGGGCCGCACCTGGAGCGCCATGCCGCCGGGGATCTTCGGGTCGACGGCGGCGGCGACGTAGTCCGCGAGGTCCTCGATGTGGACCCAGTCGCCGCGGACGCCGTAGTCCTTGGGCGCCGGGAAGAGCCGCGAGTCCGCGAATTTGGGCAGGCCCAGGACCGTGCCCGCGCGGAGGCAGACGCCCTTGGACCCGTAGCTCTTGAGCCACGACGCCTCGCAGAGCCGCAGCGTCTCCATCTTCTTCTCCGCGAAGTTCTGCGTCGCGACGAGCGCGTCGACGGGCTGCAACAGCACGAACTTTTCGGGCGCGTTCGCGCCGGCCTCCGCGGCCGCGCGGAAGAGCGCGTCCATGGGCCGCCGCCGGCCGTCGCGGCCGAGGTCGCCGACGCAGCAGACGACGCCGTCGGCGTCCGCGACGGCGTCCTCCCAGCCGACCCAGCGGTCGCTCACGCTGTCGAGCTCGTCGCCGCCCGTCCAGTCGCGGAACGCGACCGCCACGCCCTTGTCGGCCCACTTGTCGAGCCGCTTCTCGCCGACCCAGCCGAAATCTTCGGACACGCGGCTCGGCGTCACCGCCAGGTAGGCGTTGCGGCAGAGGACCGTCACTTTGTGGCCCTTGGCGGCCAGTCGGCCGGCGATGGCGCTGCCGACGCCGCCCGTGCCGCCGGCGACGACGATCTTCAGGGCCGCGGCGCGCTGCGCGAGCAGCAGAAGCGCGGTTGCAATGGTCGTGCGCATCGTTGTGCTAATTGCTGCGGAGCTCGAGCAGCTCGATGGCGTCGGTGGCCACGACGATGCACAAGATCTCGCCCGGGCGCGGCTGGCGCGGCGTCGGCTCGACGACGCTGGCGGCCACGAGCACAGGATCCTCTCGGCCACGACGAGCAGCGAGGTCGGCGAGCCGCGCCGCGAGGCAAAATTGGGCATGGTGGAGCACTGACCGCGCTTGCAAATGCCAGTCTCGTAGACGGACAGCTTTCTCAGCTGCTCTGCAACCCGCACAAGAATCACACCAGCATGGCGCTTGCAAAAATTCTGCGCCTCGTCGCCCTCGCGGCGCACATACACATCACAACGCAAGTCAGCCGCGCGGACCGCCTCGAGCGCAAGGACGCGTCGCGCACGCGCCCCGCGGCGGCCTGCGGGTCGCGGGGGCGGACGATGGTCGCCTTCGGCGCGCACACGGACGAGCCCTTCGTGCAGGACGAGCTCGAGCGCATCGTCGCGTCGGCGAAGACGTTTCAGTGTCCGCCGCACGACGTCGTGCTCTTCGTCGACGCGACGAAGACCTACACGACGCTCCGGCACCCGGACCCCGACGGCGTCACCGTGCGCGTGCCGCTGCAAAAACTGCTAAAAAACGGCACGACGGCGTTCCGCGTCTTCGTGAGCCACCAGCTGCTCATGGCTGCGCTGCCGACCTACGTCCTCGAGGACAAGGTCTACGACTACGCCTGGGTCGTCGAGGAGGACGCGAAGATGGTCGGCGGCGCCTGGGCCGACCTCTTCAAACAATTCAACGCGTCGTCGGCGGACCTCGTCGCCTACGCGCGGCAGACGAACCGCGGCCGCGCCGCGCTGCTACCGACGGCGCGGCTCTCGACGCGGCTCCTCCGCGGCGTCGCCAAGGAGCTCGACAGGATCGCCGCGGGCGCCAAGGGGTCGCGGAAGAAGACGATCCACGGCGCCTTCACGTACCAGATGTGTGCGGGCGCGAAGTGGTGCTCCTACGCGGCCATCCCCGACGAGTGGTTCGGGCCGTACCGCGCCAAGTGCGCCTGGAGCGGCGCGCGCTTCGACGACCTCGCGCCCCGGTGGCGCAACCCGACGGGCCACGGCAAGGTCTTCCACCCCGTCAAGCTCCGGGCGCCGACGAGCGGCCGCGACTTCCGCCACTTCCGCTGCAAGGAGCTCTTCGCCAAGGAGGCGCGCGCGCACGTGGAGCGGTAACTTACTAGAGCATGGTGGGGCCGCCGCCCGCCTACGCGAGGACGCGGTCGAAGAAGGCGGCCATGGGGATCATGCCGTCCTTCGTGGTGTCGAAGTAGTCGAGGAGGGTCTTCATGGAGAAGGCGTCGAAGTTGAGGCCGAGGTCGCGGAGCTCGAAGGCGAGGTCCTCGCGGTCGAGGACGCTGCCCGGCGCGGCCGCGGCCATGTCCTTGAGCTTCTCGATGGCGCCGACGATGCCCTTCAACTCGTCGGCGGCCAAATTCACGATGCCCTCGGGCGTGAGCTTCGGCGGCAGCGGCGGCTCCTCGCCCGGGTCCTCCGCGGACGCCACTACCGCCCAGAAGTTGGGCGACTTCTCGAGGCGCGCGTTCGTCGCGCCCGTCGTCCGGCCGGCCATCTCGCTCGCGAGCGCCTCGACCTTGTGGGTCCCGAAGTAGTTGTGGCACGTCACCTCGAGCTCGCGGCCGAAGTCCGTCGCGTCGAGGTACTTGGGGCTCGTCGCGAGCGCCTGTGTGGAAATCAAATATTCAACCCGACTTCAATGTGCGCGTATTCGAATGTTTTGACACAAACACTTCCGCTGCGCTTCGAGAACTCGCTGAGAGCAATCGATCCGTCCAAAAATCAGCCGAATCGACTTCGATTTGATTGAGATAGAGAGTTCTGAAGTTTGGTGGGGACCCCCCAAACCAGTCGTTGATTTCCACACAGGCGAGCGCCTGCTTCGTCGCCCGGTGCTGGATCACGACGCCCGCGGCGAGCGCGTCCGGCGAGCCCACGGTCGCGCAGGGCACGGCCTCGCCGCAGCTCAGCTGGCGCACGATGCCCGTGTTGCCCGCGATCTTCTGGAACGTCCAGACGCTGCTCATCGTCTTCGCGTTCGTCATGAACACGGGCTGCTGGTTCGCGATGCGGCTCGCGTTGCGCTCGTTCTTGAGCGTCGACGCGAGGTAGAAGCCCGGCCGCGTGGCCTTCAATTTCTCGTCCTCGAGGAGGACGTCGTGGCACTGGAGGTGGAAGGGCTCCCCGAAGTGGACGACGTCGCCGGGAGCCGCCGCCGACTTGTCCGTGGGGAGCACGACGAAGACGGCGCGCGCCACGGGCATGTTCGCGAAGGACGCCGTCACGAGGCGCGACCCCTGGTCGCTCTCGAAGATGGACTCCGTCAGGTCCACCGCGAGGAGCGCGCCCGCGGCCGGGTTGCCGATCATGACCTTGTCGCCGAAGCGGAGCGCGCCGTCGGAGCACTTGCTCAGCGCCACGCGCTTGTTGTAGACGGCCTGCTTCTTGTAGAGGTCGTTCATGATGAGGGACCCGTTCTCCTGGGACCGCGAAAACTCCGAGAGCTTCTCCTCCTCGAGGCACATGTCCTCGAGCCAGTTGCCCACGCGCGTGCGCTGCGTGTAGCGCTGGGCGCCGGCGAGCTGCTGCGGCGTGAACTGCATGGTGGGAGCCTGTGCTTCGCGAGCCTGGTCTTCGCGCCGGCCGAGAGGACCGGTCGATGCGGCGGCCCGCGGGGCGGTGGCGGCGTCGTTGCGGCGGCGCTCGTTATCAGTGGGCTGCCAACCAAACAAAGCGAGGATTTTGTTTACGTTTCACACTTTGATGTACACTTTTTTCATTCCAGCAGCCCAAGCGACGATTCCGGCGCGATGGTCATGCGCGCGGTGGTCTTCGCCGCCTGCGCCGCGGTCGCGCGCGCCGGGGCCGGGGGCCTGCGGTCCGCACAGGCCGACGCGCAGGACGCGGACACGGCGAAACTCGCGCGCCTGCTGACGGAGGACATCTACTCCTACGACTACGGCGACGAGACGGCCTACCCGAGCATGCTGCCCACGCCGACGCCGACGGAGCTCGTGGAACCGACCGCGCTGCCCACGTCCGCGCCGACGACGGTGGCCCCGTCCGCGGCGCCGAGCTCGGCGCCGACGTCCGTGCCGACGCTCTCGCCCAAGATCGAGGTCACGACGGAGATCGCGACGACCATCGACCTCGGCGACGACGTCACGGTGGACACGCTCCTCGACGACCCGGACATGGCCGAGGCCATCATCGGCGACGTGCAGGCCACGCTCGCCGACGCGACGGGCATCTCGACGGACTTCATGACGACGACGTTCTCCGCCGCGCGGCGCCTCGAGTCGTCCAAGCCCCGGCGCCTCGACGACTCGTCCGGCGTGTCCTTCACGACGGAGATCACGGAGATCATCGACCTCGACGACGACACGGACGTCGCGACGGTCTCCGAGGACGCGTTCGCCGCCGTCCAGGACGCCGTCGTCGCGGCCATCGAGGACGGCAGCTTCTCCACGAACCTCGCGGCGGCCATCGCGACGACGTCGTCGACCTACACGGAGCTCGACGACGTCGTGATCGACGACGACGTGCTCCTCGCCGAGGCGGAGAAGGCGTCCTACGCGCTCGTCGTGTCCACGCCCGTGCCCATCCCCGCGCCGACGGCGTCCCCCGTCTCCGAGGACTGCCTGTGGTGCTGCACGCGCCGCAACCGCGAGCTCCTCTTCGGCACCTCGACCGTCGACGACTACGACTGCGACGCCTGCTCCTGCTACAGGGAGGATTCCTAGTTAACAACATGTTGAAGTTAGCGTGCGCGCGCCTCAAAGCCGGTCGACGATGGGGCAGCCCCGTTCAGGACTTGTTAATAGCATCATAATCTAACTCAGTTTTAAGGCATCGCCACTAACTCGACGTTCGTGTCGAGATCGGGCCGCTCCAGCGACGAAATCGGCGGTCGGCAGCATCTCGCTGAAATCGGCGCCTGAGAGGCTGTCGGTGTTCCAGCGCAAGATCGTGCTCGCCGCCGGTCAAATTGTGCCCGCGCTCGGGTCCCGGACCGGTGAGGACGGCTCGACCGCCCGGGCGCCGCGCGGCGACCGCAGTCCGCCGCGCCGACTCGCTGGAGGCAGCCCGAGACGTCGAACGAGTCCCGCACGGGGCGTGTGGTCCGTCCGCGCGCGCGTCACCAAATTGGACGCTTTTAAGCATTGGACAGCACGTTTCGGTCCAGAACCTAACTCCAATTTAATGGATCGCCACTAACTCGACGTTCTACTCGACGCAAAGCATGTACGCGCTCACCGCTCGAGACCGCCCTCGTCGAGAGGGCATGGGTGACCGTTTTTTGCGCGAATCGAGTCAATCCAAAGCAATGTTTCGCTCCCCAGCGTCGTTACGACGCAGCTGCGACTGGTGGTACGCAAATCTAGCGACACAGACCGGCTTTTGCTCATGTTTGAACTTCAACCTGGGTTTGTTGCACTACAACATCGATGTTGAACCTAGACCGCCCGCCGACTTTCTCGCGCATTAAGGGCGTAATTTACGGGCTGCAGGGCCCTAGAGGGCGCGGACGTGGGCGCCTCGTGGTCGCTGGCCGACGGGAAAGACCGGGAGAGAGGCCCCAAGCCGGGCCAAAATCAGCCTGTCGATGACCAAAAATCCTCCCTGTAGGGGACCCCGCCCCGCGCCCGCCCGCCCGGCCCCGTCCTTCCTCGCCCGCTGCCCCGCCCGCCCGCCTGCCCCCGCCCGCCCCC